CTCTCTCTCTCTCTCTCTCTCTCTCTCTCTCACACTCACACACACACACACACACACACACACACACAATCAAATATGCTTGGCATCTAATTTTCTCTGTCTCGTCTCAGGTATCTACATAGAGGAGATTCTGTCAAAGTGGAGAGGTGACTATGACAAACTGGAGCACAATCACACCTACATTCAGTGGTGAGACTTTCAGCTCTATTGTGATGTGCTATATATGTTAGATTGCAGTGTGATTGCATCAACTCCTTGTAATTGACTATCGTTTATTACATGGTAGAAACCACAGTAAGGGAGATTTCAAAACCCCTTTTTTCTTTCTAGTTGTTATAGAGGTCAGGAGATATAAAGTGAGGATTTTAAACTCCCTGTACAATATGGGATCTTTTTTGGGAGAATGGATTTTAATTTGACTGTTGGCTAAGCCTTGTACCCTTAAGCTTCTTGGCTTCCTTTAGCTGTAGCTAAAACAAAGTGTGATCTTGGGAGACCCAAAAGTCCAAAACACAGTCTGGTCACGTGGGGGGATAGGTTTGCCCTAACAGGATCCACCCGTAGATCCATTGTTATTTAGGAATGAAAAGATGCATTTTTTTTATCTGTGTTTGAAGGAGGTGTAAGCTGGTTGTGTCTAATCAATTTTAGCTGTTCAATACAAATATTCAACAATATTTTCATTTTTTCATACTACAGTCCAAGTTATGCCTCTGCTAACTACTAAAAACGTGCAACCACAACTTTTGTTAGTGGTTGTTTGAATATGACACAAATGTTCCTCAAGACAGAGGTGCTAACATTGCTGTAAACTTTGATAGCATCCTGTTGCGAAACTGAAACAAACCTGTCAGTCTCTTTATATGCAGAGTGTCTTCATGTATTTTTGCTACTGCAGCGTATCTTTGTTTTTGTACACAGCCTCAACAACAAGCAGAGAAACCAACATGTCAGCGTGATTACTAAGCTAGAAATCTCTGTTCCTGTGAGGGTTGGATTAGTGGTAGCTTCTTTACTTCACGATAGAAAGCAATAGCAACTGTTGGAAAAGGACACTTAACTGATAATCTACATCAGCATGTTGATTTTTTATTCTTTTTTTTCCGTTGCAGGCTGTTTCCATTAAGAGAACAAGGGCTCAACTTCTACGCACATGAACTGAATCAGGACGAGATCAAAGTAAGACACACGCAGAGACACATGCTAAACATATATACATATAGACATACATACTGTCTGAGCTAACTCCTTCATCATTGCATAAGTGCATAGCTTGGTTGAGTGACTGTGGCTTCCATTAGAAAAAAGCAGTTACCCAGCTCCCTCATAAGGGACATAAACAGAATCCTCAAAGAAAACCTCCGGGGATGCTCGTTGCAATTCAGCTGCTAATTGAGTGCAAATGTGTCTCGGAGCAAATTTAGATGCAATTTGGGTGAAACAAGACATTTGTACAGATTTTATGTTCTCGCGTTCCACACGATTATCATCCCATCACTTAAATGCTCACCAGGCACAAAGATGGCGCTGTACCTGTCTGTTGGTTTCTGATGTTCTGCTTCTGTCAGGAATTCCAAAGCACTCGTGAAGCTAAGCGGAGATTCCTGGCGGCCTATTCCCTGATGTTGGACTTCTATGGCATCAAGCTGCTGGATAAGAGCGGAAACGTCGCTCGGGCTCCCAACTGGCAGGAGCGCTTCCAGCACCTTAATGAGTGAGCATACACACATATAGACATTGTGCAGCAGCTTCGGGGTGTACAACTGCAGCCAGAATCTGTGCGAACTAATCAGCTTTCGTGTTCTTCAGTGAGGCCATTGTTCTAAATCCCACGCAACTTAATTGCTCTTCTATCAGCAGCCAAATGTGAAACGGCACGGTGTGCATCAACAAACAGATGGTTAAATGGTCATTTAAAAGGGGGATTCTTGATGGTTTCATTCCTTGAGAGAAGTCTTGCGTTGCCAAAGAACCACCTGCATGTTATATGTTGCAGTTCCTTCTTGTTCAGTGTGTTTCTCCTATATTACCATACCTCCTCTACTTCTAAGCTACTGATTTTAATTGTTTCCATTATCCAGACCACATGAAAAACAACAGATACCTCACACAATAAAACAGCTGCTCAATACAGTATCAGTCCCTTCTCTGGCTTTTAAATATCCCAGGAAATATTCACATCTGGTGCACCGTGGTGTCTGGGCTTTTTGGCAAACAACTATCAGAGAGAAGTTTTTCGTAATAATAATAGTTCTGTATTGTCAAACATTGTGGACTGCAGCACAGTGAGTGAGTGCAACCTTTTAGTCATTTAAAAAAAGGGTTTATTCATTTATTCATTTGAATATGTTTCAACAGAAATTCGTTTTTTTGAAATATATCTAAAAATATTTTATTATGAATCTTTACGAATAGCTCAAATATGAAGACTCCATTTTCACCTGGCATCTCAACTGTCCATATTGAGATCTGATTAAGATCTGACCGACTCATGTCCTCTAAAACACAGCAAATAACAAAAAGGAAAGAATAGAAGTTGGTAACCATCAACAAAGTGGCATTATTTTTCAAGCAGTAGGAGACAACTGGAACTCTTGTACAACGTCCATAGTTGAGGACTGAGTAGAGGACAGCTTTGTGTGTGCTGTGGACCCAGTGGCTGCTACCTCGCTGGTTTGGAAAAAAATCACACACGACTACTTCAAAGTTGTATGTGAATTAACAACACAATTGTATTTACACTTGTTTTCACTGAGGTCACAATGTGTGTCTGACCATCTGTGCTCCTGTACTTTAATGTGGTTAAGCTCCGTCAGATTTCAATATCACGCAAAATGCATTGTATTGCCAGGTGGGAATGGGGAAGAACACAAACACATTAGTTGTACAAAGAGGAACATGGATGAAAGCCTATTTAAATTGCAGCTGCAGCCATTAATAATGCTACATTAGCTTATCTTAGTATTAATGGCTCACTGTCTGACATGCTTGTATAACTTTTGACGAAGAAAATGGTTGGGTGGTAGAGGATACTGTTTTAACTGTCAGGAACATAGAGTGTGGAATTCCACAGATGAATGAAGGTTGTTGAATGGTGTGTTTGTCCATTAATCCATTTTTAATATTATTATTTTTTTGGCAAACAATTCAAGATATATGATCATTTTTAAGTTTCAAAAATAATGTTCTCCACAGAGATTCTTGTCTACAAAATATTACAGTGACACAAGTGTCATCATCCAGTACCACTTGATGTGGTGTAATCACTTAATTTATGATGAATTCTGATTATCTCCCTTTTTCTTAAACTGCTTCTCCTGTTTGGACCTTTAAAGGTGTCAGCACAACTACCTGAGGATCACTCGCATCCTGAAGTCCCTGGGTGAACTGGGCTATGAGGCCTTCAAGGCCCCACTGGTTCGCCTCTTCCTGGAGGAGTCGCTGTGCAAAAACACCCTTCCCAACATGCAACACAGCGCCCTGGAGTACTACGTCTACACAATCCGCCTCCCGGCCACCCGCAGGCGCCTGCTTCGCTACGCCCGCCAGCACTACAGGCCTGCCCATGCCTTCCTCTGGGGTCCGCCAACTAAAAGGCAAGGGGGAGGGGCTGGTAACGGAGGCAGCGTGGGTGCTGGGAGTAGTGGGATCAGAGCACCGGCTCCAACACCCGAGCCACAGAGAAAAGAGGACGACAGCGCCTCCTCCACCTCTCCGAGAGGCGGGATCATTGTGTCTCCCCATGATGCCGTGATGTGCCAGGACCTGGCTGGAGGAGGACTGAAGAGCTACACAGGACTCGGGTCGAATATGGCCAGACTGGAGGGGGCGCTGATGTTGGCGGGAGCAAGAGGAGGGAGGAACGAGTACAATGAAGTTGTTCCTTAGTCTGGAAAAGAGTGTTCTCAACTGTTATCAGGTTTTTAAAGCAGAAAAAAACAGCAGTTTTTAAAATCAACCAATTCAATAAGTAGAACTTCATTCATAGCAGGTCCTGTGAGACTCTGGAAGGGTCAGGACAGTAATACACATTTATAGTTACATCTTAGAATCTAATAAACATGTTCAGGTTAAGGGCTACCATAAACTATGATATAACTTGATTGCAGTTTATTCAGTTTAGCTGTATTAGGGATTATAATATGGGGCAGGGCTGTTTAGGGAGGTGGGAGATCTTTACTTGAGCCAAGATAAGCAATCTCACCTTGGACCAAATCCCAAAAACCATGTGAGCTAGGAGAGACCCACACATGTAGTTCAAGGTGTTTCCTCATTAGGGCCATGAACTAGGTACCAGTGAGAAAGAAGATTGCCTTATTTATTGTTGTATATTAGAACTTTAGCAGGTGTGAATTGTGAATTGAACAGCATCACAGAACCAAAGGCGCCTGCTGATTGGGAAGATGATAGTTTTGGGAGAGCTCATCGGTGTAGCCGGAGTTCCACTGAGCCACAAGCTGGACTGAGCTCACTTTGTACAGTCACTGTAAAGTGAATATTATAATGTGAAGACAGATTATTTCTCGCTTTTCTTTCTAGTTCTGATATTTAAAAGTGATATAAGGGGGAGGGGGGTCTTAGTCTGTCATAGCAATACCCAGAAACCATATTAATTGAGATTTACTTGAAATACTTGTAATAATAATATCAACTCAATATGTATCTTCTCTAAAGTTTTACTGTTGACTGGAGATCCTCCATCTGAAAATTGTACAGAATTATAAAAAGACTTGTGAGTAGGAAAGAGTTAAGAGTAGCGTGGCTTTTTCATGATGTTAAAAATATCCTCTCAGCTGTGGAGGTCCACTTGAAAACTCACTAGAGTCACAGGATGGCTAATTGTTCTCTCAGTTGTTAGTTTATTGGGTCCACTTGGACAGAGTGAATGCAGTAGTTGAAAAGCCTTTTTAACACACATTCGTTTCTTGTCATATTAGACTGAAATTTAAAAAAGTTGGGTGTGTCTTAGAAACTGGAAGGTGTAGTTTCCCACACTTGGTCAAAGAAAATGAAGACATTGCTCTTGTTTGAAGAGGAAGAGAGCAGTGTAGTTTCTGTATCTCTCTTTTTCAACACTAGTCTCACTGGTCAAAGAGAATCTTATTACACTCTAATACCTCTTTGATGACTGCTGTGATTCACGCCGGCAGTTTTTAACGTGATGTTACACCTAAAATTCTTCTGGACCTTTTTTTTCTCAGATGGCTTTGTGTAATGATAATAATCATAATTCAGCACAATTTGTTCGTCTCTCTCTGCATTAGGAACACAAACAAGATTAGCCTCTAGAATAACAGGGCATGCATTTTATGAAGGCTTTTAAGAGTACACATGAATAGACTGTAAATATTTTATTATTAATTAGGAAACATAATTCAAGTGTCAAAAGTTAAAATTGTATTCGATATTTCAAATTAAAAAGATAGCTGTACTGTAGTTTTATGGCTAACATGTTTAACATTCATGATAATTTGGTGCGTTTTGTCACCTAAAAGTCTTCTACACTGAACTGAACAGGGGTATTTACTGTGGGTTGTGAGTGAAGTTAATGTATCGCAGCAGATGATGTGTTGTGCGTTTGCACTCTTTTGACAATCTATGTCTTCCAGTTGAAAGCGTTGTAGGTTTTTAATTCTCGTTGATCTGCATACTGTATGTATACAAATGGCCAGGAACCTGCTGCATCATAAACACAAGTGATTGTTCTCATATTGTGTCATTTTGCAATAATTTGGGCAAAGGACATGTAAAATCAGACATCTATATTAAACATTGATAGTTTTCAGCTAGGCTAAACTTACTGTGGTGGGTGGCAGTATAGTTTATTGACTTATTTATTCAAATATATCTGTTTAGATGCCAAAAAATACCCAACAAGAAACGTATTTCTCTTAGATTTTTACTCTGATGTGGCTACAGGAGCCATTTAGCATGTAGAACGTTTAGCATGTAGAACGTCAGTGAGAATATCATGTCATCACCCCCATCGTTTCAGGAGTTGACAGCATCACTCTTCGCTTGTGTTTAGTTACTATAAAAGGACAATATGAGGACACGGTCCCTCTTGTGTGAATGTTTCAGCCTCCCATTCACTTCCAATCAGTGTGAACGAGGAAACGAATAAAACATTGGCTTTGATATTATCTTCACATTTGCACATTTGCGACCGTGCCCTTACCCTGAAGTTAGAGCAATTTCGTTGAATAGCAGTCAAACACGAGGCATCTGGGTTCCTTGTTGCAATAGATAGATATCAGTGAAATTAAAAGCCATGTGTGGTGAAAGACAGCGATAATGCATACGATCGGGATTTCAACACTTTTCCAGCTGTTCTTCCTGTAGGTTCAAGCCTTGTGTTTCGAGGCCTCTACATCGCTCCTTTAGCCAAGTATATCTGATATAATTGTAAAACATGATAACTTTTCAGGTGAAGTGTGCGATAACATGGGCTCAAATATCTGAATTGTAGTATCCCGTATGTGTACATATAGATGTATGAATGTGTGTCTGATATTCTTAAGTGCCTCTTTTGTATTCTTTATGTTCGTCTGTATGTTGTAAGAAGTGTCTTTCCCAGATGATTTCCTGTACATCCTGTTTCTGTACAGCAGTTTGATAAATGCACTATTGTTTTCGTTCTGGTCACATAAAGTGCAGTATGGGTAGATTCATGTACAGTCAAGGCAGGAATAGTTCATATTATGTAATACTTGAAATTGTTTGTACCTGGCTTACTGATTAAAATGTGGCTGTTCCACAGTCGACTGTTCACTATGTTTGCAGAACACACAATCTGACACAATGAACTCAAATAAAACTGGATGTGGATTGAGAATTTTGTCAAGGGAAAGAGTTTAAGGGAAGCCAACACTAGCACCGTGCATCACATGTAGTTTTCCAGTGGCTGAGCCTTGTCAGGTGCAGGGCGTCTTTGCAAGCAGGAACAATCTCATTGGTCGAGATCAACCTCAGCGCTTGGCTGAGCAGCGATCACCGTTAAATAAACTCACAGCACAGGATTAAACATGCAAAGAGATTCGCTTTCAAAGACTGAACATAACTAAGATTATCTGACGTCAGAGGCTTTAATCGGACCGGAACTAATGCAGGATGAATATGCACATAGATGCATGCCCACACGATAATATGCCCAAGAAACAAAACAAAAAGGCAAGTGGCAGGTAACTGGTGTTATGTTGGAAGCTTAACCAAATAGCATGCGTGAGTGCAGGCTAATTGTTTTAATCTTTGCACTGTTTCTTGTGACTGAACAGACCCACGCAAAGTGCAAACAGAGCCGAAGATTATTGAAATGCACAAAAACAGAGATAACTGTCCTCCTCCAGAATTCAAAGGCATGGGTCTGTATTGACATTCAGAGAAGAGCACGTACTACAAACACGCAGCTGGACCACGTTGGACTTTCACTGCATATTTTGCTCTGTACATAAGATACGTGAGATAAAGATAAGGATTTAAACCTTCAAAATAAATACAGATATAATTGGATGAGCATGCAAATTATGTGACATATGGGTTGAAGATGAATTAAATAATAAATCTACATGTGTGACTGCTGTTAGCTCTCACACTGTTATTTTTAATTTTAACACATTGACTACAAAACAAAGACATGAGTCTCTCCACCTCATTAATCCGTCTTTGGTCTCATTTCTCTGGTTCAGTCTCACCCCGAAGTGATTCGTGCCTGAAGCTGTAGTGACAGTTTAAACAGAATGTTTTGTCCTGTAAGTGGAAATGGTACATTGAATATTGTTGTGTTCACCTTTGTGTTATTTATTTTGCATTTATCTTGGTAGTGTTGGTAGGGATGCACATAGACAGTTTAGGGGAGGCCGTGGATCAGGAGACGGAGCGGGTTGTCCAGGACAGGGATATTTACTGGACAGATTCTGGTGTTGAAGTAATCTCTCTCAGATGAGTATGATAAATTACTTCAGCACAGTGCAACAGGCAGATGAGGATGAAAAGATAAGAAGGTCATGTTGCTGGGTGAAATCTAATCGAATGCGTCCTTTAAACAAAAGTCCTGTGACTTATTGAACATCAGGGTAAGTATGGTTATACCTCTAGAAACTGAACACTAATCACAGTTCCTTAGTGTTGTTCACTCTTGATATCGAGTGTTGTCTTTAACAGAGACTGTGGATGACATGCCTCCTCCATGTTGGTGGATGGGACATGACAACTGAAAATGTAAAGAACACTTCACATACGTTTTTCACAATGATGCTCCCTGTCATTTTAGTTCGTTCTTATTACACCGATGTGAGGTGCTCATTTTACGTTATTTTACTTCTTAGGAACTTTAACCTGCCCATGTAACTCTGATGGCCACACATTGTATATGATGTGGAAATCTGTGTGACCTCTGTAACCAGTATATCATATATAAGCAGAGCATTGTATTGCTGATTTCTCTCATTTACGTTCTGTACATATTGTAAATGTGATTGATAAATCCTAACACATAAAACAACAATGGCTGTGTTTATCTCTGGAGTTTGATTGAACAGACTCCTGCTGTGCCTTCATCAGCTTCTGTACGTCTTTGCTGAAATGTGTCGACATCAGGATCCATAACTGTAGCTTAATTTTATGTCTCATTTATCATCTCATAATTATTTGAATGTTATTTGCAGAAATTATTGTTTATCCTATCATCATCATCATCATCATCTGTTTTCAACTGACACTTACACTTATTTGCAGTGGTGTCCAGACGATCCCGTTTGAAGGTGTAAACCATCAGTGCACATTTATTAATTTATAATAAACTGTGAAGAATAGACAAATAACAAGGTAAAAGCATTCACTAGAATACATACTGCACAAAACTTCATTTCTGCAAAGCCTGACAACCTTTATTTCCGCGTATAAACTAGGCTGCATGTATCTTTAATAATTCATTATGTACATGGCCCTACTTGCAGTCAATCATGTGATGTCTGTGCCAAGACAAGAATGAAATTCACTCTGATTCTCCTGCACAAAGGACGCATCTGTTGCAGCAGATCTGCCAGCTGGATAACAGGATTAAAGTCCTCGGTGAGAGCTGGAGAAGCATGGGGCCATACATTATGTGAAAGCAAACGTGCTGAAGACCTCTCTGAAACAATGGTTTTCTCCATTAGAAATTGGAAAACATGCTTCCATCCAGACAGGGCTTAAGCAGAAAGATGTGGACATAGTCTGTGTTGTCACACGACTTATCCTGCTCCCTCTGGCCTGTTCTTCTTTTCCCATCAGGGACAGCGTCGACCCTTCAGCCTGTTCTTCGTGCTGTGAGATGAGAGCACACTAGCTTCACATGATTCTGAATGGTCACTATCCTAATTCATGATGCATTTTTTTAACAGATTCAAAAATAAAGAATTTCATTTTTATTCTGTCTGTATGACGAATAATAAATGTTTTTCAAGAGAACTAAATGAGCGAACTAATCAGTCGTGATCTATCTTGGTCAGATCCCACTGTTTTCAGAACAGTGTAGAGAAATGAAGGTGCAGCAAGTTTAAGAGCGTCCAATGAGAAGGAAAGGAGATTATAGACAGCACAGTCACAAATCATGAATTCATGATATTTGAATGTGGCTGTGCAGGAGAACTAATATCAAATCTGTGGCGTTATAAAGGAGTATTCTTGACACCACAAAGGATATTGTTGTAATGAGAGAAACATTTAAGGTATAACTAGAATGCCACTCAGTAGAATGTATAGGAATTCACATTTAAATTCACACAATTCAGATTTTTATTTGGATCCGCACCAAATTGCTCACAAAAAAATGGTATTGTTCCATGAATTCATGAATCAATCAATTGTTCCCTGAGAAAATTATTAAAATTATGAAAAAAGTGAATGTGAAACATTCCTGGATATATAACATATATAGATACATAACCGTCTTAATGGAGGAGGAATATCTTCTTAACATGAAACAAGGTTCTGTAAAAACTATCCCAGTGTAATCACATCTAAACTTAGATAATGTGAAAGCTTGTAAGCTGTATGTATTGTACATGGGAATGTCAGTGGTGCTATGGATATGTCTATATACTGAAGTGACATTCAAAATGTTATACCTTACAGGACAGCTTGCTCAATCATTCTTTCTACATCCATCTGACCTTCAGGGTTGTGTCTGAGATTTTCTTCTCATATAATGAAAGACAGAAACATACTCATCAAAAAACGAGGAGCTGCACATGGAAACCAGCTAATGAGCAGCTCTCCAATGAGACGGATGAAATGTTATAACAAGGTACACGTCGCCTTGTTTGACGAAATGTGAAAAAAGCATTTCTAACACTGTAACGAGATGGTAATAAAAGTAAATCATCATAACCATAACCATCGGTGCAGAGCGGGCGGAGGAAACAAGAGTTTTAAAGCTATAACTCTTGATGACAGCAATGATATCACACTTCACATAAGAGTTTATGTAAGTGAGTGAGTGTGTGTTTGTCTATGTACTACATGCACACTCACCTGATTCCCACTGGCAGAATGAGGAGGCCGTCTACTGTGTGCGTTCGAGCAGAAAAAGAGTGTGTGTTCCGGCAGAGTAACTGTGGAGATGTTCTTGGATTCATGTTGACGGGAAGTGTGGAAATGTGTACTCGTGTACGTGTGTGTAAAAAACGTGGAAGGGTGAATATGTGTGTATCTCATTGGGTTTATTACTCTGCATCACATATAGCCATTATATTTAAAAAGTAGTAAATGATGATGACCTATGATGAAAACATTTTAGAGATATGACAGCACAAAATGTTTTTCATCCTCATTGTGTATTTGAACATTTCTTTCCCACATTATGTTTTTCCTCAACATCCTGTTCCAGTAAATTATGCAAGAAAGACACCAACAACATTCTGTGTCTGTGCGGCTTCAGAACGCAGCGTCGTTTGGCCACTTTGGAGCTGTGTCATACATCTTTGAACTTCCCCAGAGTACAGTCGGGATTCTTCTTCTAACAAAACTGGAAGACGACCATTTCTTTTGTAGCGTCCCTCGAGGGCCACACTACATTATTGAACACATACATCACAGTTTTCAACTTGAGCAAAAGTAAGAACTTACTTTTAAATCTAAGTACTTGTTGAGTGTATCCTATCCCCATAATGCGACAACGTAATATATCTTTCTGGCTGAGTCTTGGTGGTGGCCTCTTCTGAATCTCTTTTAGTTTTTTAAACACGCAGCCCACCATCTCAAGTATTAGGTAGGTTTCTGCTGCATTTATTTTGCAGTGGTGGCCCGTCCAACCTTCAGGATTAGGGTAGACACACATTATATATGTCCAGTATCCTTGTACCATGCTGCATGACCTCCCTCATCACTCCCCCGCTGATCTGGACTCAGAGTTATTAGGATCTGAACAGTACTGAATTTACTTTATTTAACACATTGAAAAAAAGTTCTGTTCAACTGCTCCACACAAAAGGAGACGTGACGCACACAGGGATTGAAGTGACCAGAACAATCTGGATCATGATCCAACACCATCGATTCATAATTAAATGAATGTGATCTGCAAGAGTGACAGATGAGCGGACACACACACACACACACACACACACACACACACACAC